TAGGGAAGTTAGTGCGCCAGAGAATTGTCAGAAAGGCTGTCAGCCTCCCCCACTCGAGTCTCAGTGGGCCCATGGGACTTCGGACGAAGTTAATGGGCCTGGATTTCTTTATTCAGCCCAACTGACTCTTCAACCTTTTATTCTGGAAGCTGGGCCTGGGCTCAATGGTTATATTGAGTCTAGTCCATCCTCTGTTCGAAGGACGAACCTGATGCCAGATTTCAGTCCTCAGGTTGGCGGTGGTCTTCAGGGTGTGGGTTCTGGGGAGGCTCGGGATTCTCAGGAACGAAGGGGGACTGCTGCTGGTAGGGAGAAGAAGGGCGGAGAGGGAGTTTCAGATCCCGGCGCTGGGGTTGTGAAATCTTGGCCTTCCCAAGCGTCTGCTCTGGCAAGCGAGACTCAGCTAAAGTCCAACCAACTAGTGTGCTAAGAGAGGAAGAGGAGTTGATGGAGGTGGATCTGATAGTGATGGTGGCTGCAGATTCTCAAATTGCAGGTGGTAAAGGTATTCTTGAGGGTGCTGAGCCACAGGTGGGAGGTAGCAAACTCTGTGTTACGGATAGGTTTGCTGTCACGGTTGGGCAGTCTCAGAAGAATAACAATCTGTTAGTGGATCAGTCGAACCAGGTAGGGGAGCAGTTTGAAAGTGTTTCTGATTCGTCATGGGTTTCTTCTAAGTTGATGGGATTGGGAAAGTTTCTGGGGATCTCGCTAGAAGGGTTGGAAGAGGAAACAATTAAGTACTTGGAGGGGGTAGAGAAAAGAATGAGTATGGCCAGGGGGAAAGCTGTAGTAAAGAAGGGGGGCAATAAATCTAAAAAAAGTAGAGAATTGCTACGCTTGACTTGGAACCTTAATGATAAAGTTGGTAGGAGTGAAGGGAGGGGGGGGAGAAAGGCTTAAGTGCCAAGTGTTCTGTTGTTCCTAGTTTGTTATGGAGCTTAAGATATTATCTTGGAATGTTAGGGGGCTGGGGCCGGGGAGGAGGCTGGTAGTTTGTGAGTCTCTGAAAAGTTCAGGTTCAAAAGTGGTATTGACTCAAGAAACTAAATTGCAATCTGTGGAAGTCGGAGTGGTTAGGAGTATCTCGGGGGAGGGGGAGGTTAGGTGGAGGTCGAAGTCGGCAGCTGGTAGTGCAGGGGGGTTACTGAGTATGTGGGACCCGACTGTTTGCAGCTTGATCTCTCATCAGATTGGGCTTTTTGCAATTTCTCTTGTTTTGAAACTTGCAGATGGCAATGTGTGTCAGATTACTAATGTGTATGGTCCTAATGACCGAAGTCGGAGGAAGGAGTTTTGGGAGGAGCTGGTAGTGGCTAGGGGAAGTCTGGATTGCCCGTGGGTTATTGGTGGGGACTTTAATGTCACACTTTCTGGGGAGGACAGAAGCTAGAGGGGAAGAAGATCAAGGGAAATGGTGCAATTTGCTGATTTTATCAACAGATTTGAGCTTCAAGATTTACCCCTTCATGGCAATAGGTATACTTGGACCAACAATCAAGACCTTCCTACCCTAGTGAGGCTGGATAGGTTTCTGGTTACTTCTAACTGGGAGGATATTTTTCCAGAGTTTAAGCAGATTGCCCTTCCAAGGCCAGTGTCAGACCATATTCCCATTCGACTGGTTTGTGGTGTTAGAGAGAGAACAAAAGTTCCGTTCAAATTAGAGAATGCTTGGTTTGAGGATGACTCTCTAGTTCCATTGTTGAAGTCTGTTTGGGAGGATATGCAGGTGGGAGGTACTAGTTCATTAATTTTAGCAAAGAAATTGGGAGCCATTAAAGCAAAGCTAAAGATTTGGAAAGTAGAGAAAAGTTTGAATCTAGATAATGAGAAGAAGGCTCTACTAAGTACCACAAAGGAGATTGACACAGCTGAAGAATTAGGTCCTATTATTGAGGAGCTCAGATTAAAAAGATTTCAGGCTAAGATGAAGTTTGACAAGTTGACAGTGGCAGAAGAATTTAAATGGAGACAAAGAGCCAAAGTGGCGTGGCTAAAAGAGGGGGATAGGAATACACATTATTTTCACAAAATGGCAAATGCCAAAGCTAGAGCTTCTGTAATTACCAAGCTGGAGGGAGAGGGCAGGGTAGGTATCACTGAGTCTGATATGAAGCTAGTGGCAACTAGCTTTTACAAGAAGTTGTACAAGGAATCTTGAGCATTCAGACCTTTTCCAAGATCTCTTTCTTTTAACCAGCTGAGTGACAGACCTTTTTCTGAGAGGAAATTAAAGAAGCTATCAAGTTGTTGGCTGATGAAAAGTCTCTAGGGCCCGATGGTCTTACAAATCTTTTTTACATTAAATGATGGGACGTGGTGAGACAGGATATATTGAATGTTTTCCAGGACTTTTTTGAGAGGGGTTCATTGCAAAGAAGTTTGAACACTACCTTTATAACCCTCATTCCAAAGATTGAAGGTGCTGTGAATATTAAGGATTTTAGGCCAATTAGTCTGTTGCATAGCTTCTACAAAATCCTATCTAAAGTCCTTGTAGAAAGATTGAAAGCAGTTCTTGGTAGGGTTATCTCAAATAACCAAAGTGCTTTTATTCTGGGTAGACAGATGCTAGATTCAATTCTTATTGCCAATGAGCTCATTCATTCCAGGAAAAAAGAACTCTCTGGGTTTGATTTGTAAACTTGATACTGAGAAGGCCTACGATCATGTTAACTGGAGATGTGTAGACCTTGTGCTTCTTCAAATGAATTTTGGGCAGAAATGGAGGAATTGGATGAAAGTATGTATCACTTCCCCAAAGTTCTCAATCTTGGTAAATAGACAGTCTGCAGGTTTCTTTGATAGTTCCAGGGGTCTTAGGCAGGGAGACCCTCTATCTCCTCTGTTATTTCTGTGTAATGGAGATCCTCACTCTTTTTTGCAAGAAGGTTGCTAAGTCAGGGGATTGGAAAGGTTTTGCAATGGTGTCGGGGGGAGAGAAGGTGAACATTCTTCAATTTCCAGATGATACAATATATTTTGTGGATGCTTCCCCCTCTCAGGTGGAGCTAATTCTTGGGATTCTCTCTTGGTTTGAAGTGATTACAGGCTTGAAAGTTAATTGGAATAAGAGCCAAATTATCCCAGTTGGACTTGTTTCCAATTTAGCTGAGTGTGTTGGTATTCTGGCTTGTCAAATTGAATCTCTCCTGGTCAAATATTTGGGATTCCCGCTTGGGGTGAGTGGTGGTTCCTCTGCTATTTGGGACCCAGTTATTGAGAGATTGGAAAGGAAACTGGCTTCTTGGAAGGCTAAATACCTTTCTTTTGAGGGGAGGGTGACTCTAATTAAGAGTACTCTCCCCAATTTGCCTACCTACTTCCTATCTCTTTTCTCTATTCCTAAGAAGGTGGCAAATCAGATTGAAAAGCTTCAATGGAATTTCCTTTGGAGAGGCTGGGAGGAGGAGAAAAAAGTGCACTTGGTGAGTTGGGAACAAGTCTGTCTTCCCAAATTTGAAGGGGGGTTAGGTATAAGGAAACTGAAATTTTTTAACTCTGCTCTCCTATGTAAATGGATTTGGAGATTTGCTGTAGAATCTGATGCTTGGTGGAGATCTCTCATAGCTAGCAAATATGGTGTGAGCTGGGGAAATTGGAGATCTAGGGACCCTTGGTGCTCTCTGTGGAAGGGGATAATGAAGCATTTTCCAGAGTTGGCCAGGGGGATCTCAGTCAGAGCTGGTAATGGTAATAGGATCAAATTCTCGAAGGACCCTTGGTGCTCAAATGTTCCTCTTGCTGAATCCTTCCCCCTCATCTTCTAGTGTGCTTCAGACCAAGAGGCCTCAGTTGCTGAGTGCTATAGTATATCTGGTGATTCTGTTCTTTGGACTCCCTCTTTCCGTAGAAATCTCTTTGATTGRGAGGTGRATGAGGCAGTGAATCTTTTGACCTGTCTACAGCATCAAGAGATGGACTTTAGTACGGAGGATAAATGGCATTGGAAGTGGAATCCTGATGTGATATTCTCT